ATATATATATATATTGTCGATATTTTCTCCTTGATGCTTCTTTCTTTGCTTTAATAGAATATGATAATGGATCAAATAAAATTGTGCGGTAATATCTACACAAATTTGTAATTTCTATTTACATTGCATCTGTACAATTAAGAAAAGTAACTTCTAATTTCACCTATGGTCAATCAATCATCTTGACAAACTAAACTATTGTAGCATTCAAATTTCTATTCTAAATATCAATGCTATCACTGTTTTGTCATGCATCTTGTGTTTGCAAATTACTGTCAGCCTTCTCCTGCAACAGCAATGCCTGTTCAAGTTTACAGAGAACATCACTTATTGATGGCCGATCTATGTGCCTACTGGCCAGGCACCTGACTGCAATTTCCACAAACATGGTAAGGCACTCGGACATGATCTTTCCTCTTAGGTATGGTTCAATCAGGAGATCAATTGTTTGACTTCGATAGCAATGAACAACCCATCTAGCCAAGCTCACTTTAGTCTGATCATCCTCATTTGCCTCACGACTAACAGCAGGTCTTGCACATAAGACTTCAAATAAAACCACACCAAAAGAGTAAACATCTGATTTGCCAGTTAATGTTCTGTATCTGCCATATTCAGGGTCCAAATATCCAAACGTGCCCTTTGGCCCAGGACTGACTTGGTTCCTATAGGATTCCGCGGTCTTGCCTACTTTTGACAAGCCAAAATCTGAGACTTTGGCCACCCAGTTTTGATCCAGGAGTATGTTTGTTGATTTGATGTCCCGGTGAATGATTGAATGCTCTGTGCCCGTGTGAAGGTAGTGTAATCCACGTGCAGCACCAATGCAAATCTTGAGCCTCTGGGTCCATGGAAGTGGTGGATTTTGGGTCTCGTAGAGATGATCACGTAGAGTGCCATGAGCCATGTAATCATATATCAGAATCAACTCATTGTCCTCTTGACAATATCCAAGCAAAGACACGATGTTCATGTGACGAAATGAGGAGAGCAATTCGATTTCAGTTTTGAACTCTTGAACTCCTTGATGGGACTCAGGATTTTTGCGCTTAACTGCCACTTTGGTGATTCCGTCATCCAGCAGACCCTTGTAAACCTTACCAAACCCGCCACAACCGAGCAAAAGAGCTTCACTGAAATTGTTGGTGGCAGCTCTTATCTTTTCTAAAGGGAATTGACGACAGTGATTTGAAGGTTTAACAAATAGGCTGACTGTTTTCCAGAGTTTTTCATCATTACGTAGCAAAAACCAATGAGACACCTGATAGACAATCAAAGAAACTAAACAAATTCCAATAACCAAACCCAGAATCTTCCCGAGCAAGATGTTAGATGGAATATGCTTGCTTCTGTCTCCATTCTTTACTTGAACATGAGCTGCAAGATTGTTACTAGTATCACTCAACTTCATGATCTCAATTCCATTCAATATTACATCACTAAGATTGGGCTTTGAATCAATGTCAGGCTGCAAGGCAAGCCACAGACCCGTTCTTTCTTCTTTCGCTTTTGGAACCATGATGATATAGTCCTTATGCATTGCAATCAATGGACCACCGGCCATAGCAACTATATCCAGGCTGTTTTCCACTGTCTCATTGTTGACATACACCTTGAACACTCTCTGATTCACTTTTGTTACTTTTGATTGAATTTCGCAGAAATGAAGCCTGACAATATATTTGAAACCTGAGTCAACAGGAAACGTCCATGTCAAGTTATAGCCCCCGTTGGCAACCTGATCACTACCACCGATTGTCCTGGCTGTGCTGTACAGATCCCCCGGTGCTCCATATTCACTTAACGTCCAAGAGCTCTTATTGTAGGCTATAGGATCATCATATGCCTCAATAGGAGTACCCTTTTGGGAACCCTGAATATATACTCGGTCGTCCAGCCCATTCCAGAACGGCTCGTTTTGACTATCAATACCTACGTTGATTCTGTGAAGTATCTCAAGGGCAGGTTCATCTTGAATGGAGGTAGCATTGAAAGTTTCATTTACTCCATAATCAGAGAGTTTGAGGGGCATTGAGTAAATCTCTATCCCATTTACAAACGCAAAAGCGTCTGAAGCATTTAGTGATGGAGCGAAGGTGATGTTAAGAAAGTGTTTCTTTAAGTTAAGGAAGTAATCCTTAGTGAAATAAGGTGATTTCAAAGTGTTTGCCACAACAGAAGGGTTAAAGTTGGCTAACAAAGTGTAATTGTCCGAGGTGACAGAGAAGTCAGCCTTCGAGATTTGGTCTGTGGCAGTGTAAGAAGTAGGGTAGAAATGAAGGCGGATAAATTTGAGGCCAGGGAACATAGGGAAACTGTAGGTGAAGGAAGAGCGAAAGAAGCGAGCTGTTGAGTATGGACTCTCCGGAACCTTGCCTGTTGTGTTTGAGATCACGCGGCCAATCGTCGTTCCTTCATAATAATCTGGGGAAAAAACATCCCCAACCCAACTTTTATTATTAAAGGATGAGTTCCTGGAAGATCCGCAGTCAAGAATTACTTGGTCCGAGGATGAATGGGAAGAGTTGTTAGTACACATACAATATTTCAAGGAATTGAACAAGAAACTGAGGTGAAGAAGAGAAATAAGTGATGGCCATGAAGTGTATGTATTCGTGATTATCTTCATAGAAGCAATGTGACAACTGCTCCAAGGAAGAAGATAGGCATAACCCGAAACATCCAACGACTAGTTTGTTAAATAGTAGCAAACCTCAAGAGTAAAGGGGTCGTTAGTCCGATATTTCTTCCCCGATTTTGTCTGAAATTTAACTATTGTCTTGGTCCCTTTGGAAACTTTTGCCTTTCAAATTGACTTGAAATTGAGAGCGTAGTTACATTCAAAAGCACGCGGATGCTCCCTTGCAAGGTATTATTCCTGGAACGAAATTTCTTCATTGCTGACCGTCGAGTTGATTGAGACCCTGGAACGTAACTTCTCCTTGGAACAGTCATAACATAGAGTCAGATCGATTAAAGAATTGAAAAAGGAAGGAAAGATTATCTTCCAATTACAAGAGAACACTAGCAATTCGTGGGTTAGAGTTCATTAATTATGATGATAACGAGTCATTCTCTAGTCTTCCACACTGGGACAAAATTGGAAAAGATTTCTTTTCTAGAAAGGATTAAGCCATTGGAATATTCCATGAATGTGTTGACTGTGGGTTAGATGTAACCAACATTGGTGGGGTTTTTCCCCCTTGAAACGAAGTTGCTGCTGCTCAAGGATGAGAATAGACTCTCTGATCAGTCATCTCCTCAAAATCTTTTCTATTTCGAGGTCAATTTTAGGTGTAAATTAAAAATTGGTCAAAGTCTCTTTTTCCCATTGTTCCTATCAAAGAACGTGTGCATATAGAGTAATAATCCAATTACTTATGGTCATCAATAAAGGATTCTAATTTAGTTAAATCACATCAAATTTGATAAGGACTCAATGAAAATGAATTGGAAATATAAAAACATCACTAAAATCTAATTATAAGTCCTGTTCAAAGTCAAGGCCATTGGTTTAGTAATATTTAATGACTTGAACTCTTCTGTGGATCTCGTTAATCACATTTATACTAAACACATGAGATATGACATATCATATTTTCTTCCGCTTCTTAATTTTCACATAAAGATCACACACATTGTAATCACAATTATGATGTTTGTTTTTAGTTACCATCAATCACAGTCAGAGTCCATATACAGCCATTAAGACCATAGAAAGGTAATGTGAACATACTGAGTTTGAACATATTCTAATACCAATTTTGATACCTAAGTCTAAACATGATTGATCTAAGCCAATAGTATCAAATCATGTACCATTCAAACTTATCTCAAGTTGTGATATTAGTTAAATAGTTCCTATCTTAATTAAGTAGGATAAGTATAAAAGCAAATGTACGTATAAAAATTTGACACTTGTGAAATTAAATAAATCAATTTACAATTTCAAGTTAAGCATTTAAAAATCAAATTTTTTTCTTCATTATGGCAACAAGTCAGGTCAAATTTGATAATTTTTTTTTCAAAAAAAAACTCTCTCATTGTACTGTTTTAGTAAATTTTTTTTGTGTATATGTACCTAACATGATTATCCATAATGGCACATATATATTTTAACATAAAAAATAAACAAAAAAGCATATGCATTTTTTTTAATGAATACCATAAAGGGAGATGGACGATTTCACTTTTTGTTATCATGAAAAAGTTCGATGGTAGATAAATTTAGAAAAATTGTCGCATGTCTATTAAATTATAATAAGAGAAATTAATATAATTATTAAATGAACATGTGATAACTCTAACCTATTTTTAGAGTTCGAAACCTCTCCTATCAATGAATAAAACAATAATTATACATTGAAAATTAAAACTACAACGAAATTCATGCAGACAAAGGCACTTAAACAAAACTTCAGATGACTATACGAATGAGGTTGTTAATGTTCAAACATTTTCTATTAAGTCAAAGGTTAGGTAAAGAATAGAAAATTGTTTCAGTCTCTTTTGAGTTTAATTTCCAATTCTCAGAATTTTTCTTTTCCTACTGTGCCTTGGGAGGGGGGTGGAGAGTTACAAACTTGCAAGGCGTAAATTAGAGGACAAAGATTTCAACTTTACCTACCTACACTCTCACCTTTTAAGAAGATACAATGATAAGAGAAAATATTCTACGAAACGACATACACATCCAATATTTATTCAAATCAAGAATCATGAATGACATGTAAATAAAGGCAGAACCTAGGGGGTGATGGGTGGTGGTGGCCATCACTCCTCAATTTTTAATTTTCTTTATTATTATGTGTATAAAACTTTATATATATATATAGTATGATTACTTTTATAATTACCCTTTAATTACTTCTTATGTAAAATCCTAAATTCGTCATTACATGTAAACATATAAATTTAATCACTTGCTTTATCCAATTGATGACTAATTAACCATAATGATTAATTTCATTTTCCTAGAACAAGAATAATATTTATCCTACTTGAAAAATTATGAGGAATCAAAGCAAATATTTTTAGTAATCTTTTACTTAAGAGATTTGTATAATGTGGGTGTCATTGTATATGTAGACCCATAAGATACAATTTTCCCATCATGTTATTGGAATATGGCTTGAATTAACTAAAACAAGAAGAACAAGACGAATTCTACGTTCTTAGTGGGCTCCCATGCAGATGCACATCTCCTTCGTATTTAGAATATTTTACTTCTTTCATTTCAAAATTATTTGACATGTAATTGTAGGTTGTTATGGTCTAAATTTTAAGAAATTTTACAATATTGTTTTTGATAGTTTATAATGTAACAACTCATCACAATGTAAGGAAATGAAAAAAAAAAACGATACTATTATAACAAAAAGGAACTCCAAATTTTTAAAAAATAAATGAGAACATAGTTTTGAAATGTAAAAGAGATGGAAGAATGTGTCAACTTTAATTTTGGCAATTGTTAGAAAAATTAAATGGATGTGGTACTATATATAATCTTGATCATTAAAGATCCATTTAGTTGATCTTTTATTTTTATTTTAAATGAACAAAAAGGAAAAAAATCAAAGATAAATGGCAATGAACAAAAATAATAATAATATCAACCGAACAAACATAGCATAAGTTTATCTAATAAGATTCTAACAACTTATTGTTATAATTTTTTTTTATACATTTATATCTTGTATGGGATTGGCAAGATAATAGATTGGGAGAGAACTAGGAATATCAAAGGGTAAGTATCGGTTATTTTTTAAGTGTACTACCTCCATCTTTTTTATTTGATAAGATACCTAAACTCTATGTATGTCTAACTAAGTTTTGGATTTGTTATCCGTACCCAAATATTTTAAACATTAACCGTTAAGTATTACCCAATTAAAATAAATTTTTATGTATATTATAAAAAAAAATTAAATTAATAAAAAATAAATTAAAATTTAAAATCATATTTAAAATAATTAATAAATTTTTGTAAGTATTGCATTAATGGTAAGAAATTTATAAATTAAAAAATAATATACAAAAACTAAAATTTAATATTATTATTTATGGTGGAATTTGGATAGCGAGTATCTTGAGATTATTATCCAAATTCTACTCAACCCGTTGACAAGTATTAATTTTATATTTATTATCTGAACTTGATTATAGAATATTTTAATTTTACTTAATCAAATCGAATAATACAAATTATTCCATTTTGAAAAAAGTTGCGTTAAGTGCTGGTGGACCTCTTATCCAACGGTCAAGACAAGTGGGCTCTCGATTGTACACTTCGGTTTGCGCCAGTTCGAAGTGAGGTTTTCAGCCACAAAAGGTAAGTCAGTGCCCTTTGGGCAATCTGTGTGTTGAATTCTGACGAGGAATCTTTTTATCTTCTAGTAATGGAAGTCTTTGACAGTGTGCTAGTCATAGCTGGCATTCAAAATAGAAAATGACAAATGGAAACACCGGGCCAGATAGATAGCCTTTGTCTTTGGAAGCAGACAGACAAAACTGGGTTCAAAGTTCAAACATTGAATTTTTTTTTTTTTATGGAATGACTATTCTTTATCCGCTTTGCTCCCATCAGCATTAGCTGAGCATTTTAACCAAAAGCCTGATTTTTGGTCCAAAAGCTTGCCACGAAGCAAGAGGAGGCAAAACATGTACCTGCAGGCCATATTCCAGGGGTTTGATTCATCATCATAACCACAATGAACACCCCAGAACTATGTGCCCCGTATTAGAGGAAGCAATGAATCCCGGATTGCGCATTGCAGTGATATTTACCAGATGTTCATCCAATCACAACTATGAAATGATATGAGAATGTAATGCATTATATCTCGGACAAAGAAAATAGGACCGTAAGAGCAAGAAGTTCGGGAGTTCCAAGCCCTGGAAGAGGGTTCTCTGCGGTTGACTCAGTCATGCTTCCATTTTTGTTTTCTTATTTTCTTTTTGATTCTGGATAAAACACAACCAGCAAAAGGGTCAACAAAATCTCATCAGGATTTGGTATAATAAATAAATGGGGAAAGATCAATTGGAAGGAACACCTGAAAAGTGTAAAGAAACAAAGGGTAGTGCAGTGTTTGCTTGGAATTCCAAGAAACAAAGTATAGTGGCACAGTCCTCTGCAGAAGCAGAGTATATTGCAGCTGCCTTAGCTGCAAACCAGGCTATATGGTTAAGGAAAATTCTTAAAAGATTTGATGATTAACTGTGAAGAACCGGCAACACTCTACATTGACAACAAGTCTGCAATTTCAATGGCTAAAAATCCAGTTGATCTTGAATGTCTATGACTAATTTATTGTGTTTGGGGCTCTGACGTGCACTGACTCTTATCTGGGTCTGGTGCATCCTACGGTGCAGCATGAGAGGGTGGCCGTCGAGCAAGAGATAGAGAAAAAGAACTTAATCGATTAGGAGGAAGTTGCGTGGGGCCTCTATTTCTTGTTTGTGTCCTTGTGCATCTATGATACTGCTGTGTCGGTTAAAAGGTTATCTCTGGGTTTGAACTCCACGATGGGCGGTAGTTTGTTTTAAAACACTCATTTATCTTATCACTCTGATAGAGTTTTACTAGTATTAGACTTTTATTTAGGGATTTATTCAGAACTCTGCTTATTTTTTAGATTATCCGTGTTAAGATGCTGCCAAGTACTCCTTGAGCAGCTGCTCTTTTTGTAATTGTTCAGAATATTCTCTTCTTATGATAGCTTCCATGCCAACAGGAGTCTTCAAATCTCAACGTTGAAGACTCCCCACGGCATTCCAGCTTATCATTAATAAAAACTCATCTTTCAAAAAAAAAATCCAGTTGATCATGGTAGAACTAAGCACATAAGGATCAAGTTTCATGCCATTTGATTGAAACACTAACACAGCAGAAGAGTCAGCCATTGACTTCAACAACTTTCTTTTTGCCCCACCTCGTGTGTCATGCTCTCGGTGGGAATGTATCATGTTCCACCATTTAAGAAAAATCCAAACAAGTGAAACAACATAACCATATATAGTATATGGTAGAAGCCTGGATTATTAACATTTTGTAGCAAATCTGAAACAATGTTATCCAGCTTCCTTCCTTATTCCTACCACCTGATGGAGTGTGTTCTCAATCTAAAGGATTCCACCCAGTCAAAGAGGAAAACCACAGATATAAGGTCATTGCTCTTTTGCAGAAATATTGACATTCTTCCTTAGTTTCTTGCTGATAACCATAGCTCCCATCTCTGCTAGCATACCATCTTATGTCCCCACAGATTCCATCTCTCTGGACTGTTCAACAATTTTCCCATCTAGTGTAAAGATGTCAAGTTCTCCCACTGAATTTTAAGTATGATTCTTCAGTGGTATCTAGGATTTACAATATAGATTCAAACAGATTCCAATACCAAAAAACTCTCCCTTCCATCTTCCAGAAACAAACCACTTACACATTTACTGTCTCTGCTGGCCCAAAGTTCATACGATTGCATTTCCAACCGATAAAACATGAAATCTTGGACATATCCAAGGCATTATTCTCTGTCAGTGTGGCTGGTTACACTCTCTTAGGCACTTCCAAGTTCTCCGAACACAATTTACTCGTTGGTTATGCTATTAGAGAATTTCGCATCAACATAGATGGCCAGGCGGTCAATGTGACATTCACCCCATCATTGCATATCTCTGAGTCCTATGCTTTTGTGCACAAGATTGAGGTTGTCTCAATGCCTTCAAATCCTTACATAAAAGAGGATTTTCCCCTTCCTCTTATTGGATATCCTTCTCGTGGGTATTATATTCAAAACTCTAGAGCCCTTGAGATGATGCACCGAGTGAACATGGGTGGAGATTCAATTTCCCCAAAAGAGGATACGGGCATGTTTCTCTTCTGGATAGAAGATGCAGGCTGTCTGGTAAGTGATGAAAGCAGTACAAGGACCATAGAATCAGAAGTTGCAATTCATTTCAGCTCCTTGGTGCCAGCATATACAGCTCCCAAGAAGGTTTACGCTTTTGCCAGGATAGTTACAACTGGGGTAGCTTTGCAAACTGGTCCTTCCCTGCTGATTCTGGTTTCTACTACCTCGTTAGGCTTCACTTCTGTGATATTTCATGGTGGACTGAAGAAAATGAAGGAGTTTTCTGCATCTCTATCAACAATCACGCTGTTGAGGACCACGCAGATGTGCTCCATTGGAGTCATGGTGCTGGTATTCCTGTATACAAAGACTACATTGTAAACTTCTCTAGGCATAGCGAAGGCATCAAACATCTCTCTGTTGCAATAGGATCCTTAATGAACCATATGATATATCTGGGTTAGCAATTTTAAATGGGTTGGAAATATTCAAGTTATCTGACCTCTCCAACAATCTTGCTGTACCTTATCCATTTGGAAAAAACAATGGTCATGATCGGAAGTTTCCCAGATCATCTGAATTAGAGGATATCAAGCTGGTGATTGCTTTATGGAGTTTTATGGGTTTTGACATGGTATTAGTTCTTCCATGTTTGGTTTTCTTACAGCTCCCATATGATTTGTGGCCATCTTTATTGATTCCACTTCTACCATCTAAATTAGAGTGGCAAAGAAAAGCTTTCATGCAGAAACAAACATCAGATACCTGTCAATGTTTCTCATTTGCAGAGATGAAGATTGCTACGGACAACTTCTCAAACAATTTACTAATAGGTGCCGGTGGGTTTGGGAAGGTCTAAAAGGGAATCATTAAGGGTGGTGCTGCAGCTGTCGCCATAAAACCTGCAAATCCAGATTCTCACCAAGGTTTAAATGAGTTCCAAAATGAAGTCTCCATGCTTTCAAAGCTAAGGCATGGACATCTAGTTTCTTTAGTCGGGTACTGCTTGGAAAACAAAGAAACGATGCTCGTTTACGACTATATGGCTCATGGCACCCTATGTGATCATCTCTAAAAGACTGACAAACCTCCACTTCCATGGAAGCAGAGGCTCAGAATTTGTATTGGTGCAGCTCGAGGCCTGCATTACCTTCATACAGGGGCAAACCACACCTTTATTCACCGTGACGTGAAGAGCACCAATAAATTGTTAGATGAGAATTTGGTTGCTAGGTTTCAGACTTTGGGCTATCAAGAATTGGCCCCAACTTGTTCACACAATCAAACACTCATTTTAGTACAGTAGTGAAAGGAAGTTTTGGGTACTTGGATCCTGAATATTACAGGCGTCAAAAGTTGACTGAGAAATCAGATGTTTATTCATTTGGGGTGGTGCTGTTTGAAGTATTATGTGCTAGGCCAGCAGTGTTACCAGCGGCAGAAAATGGAGAGGACGAGCATGAGAAGGTGAATTTAGCTTAGTGGGCCATTCATTGCTTTCAATCAGGGACCCTTGATCAGATAATCGATCCATATCTACGAGGAAAAATTGATCCGATGCGTTGGAAAACATACACAGATATAGCAAGCAAGTGTTTAGTTGATAGAGGTAGTGAAAGGCCAACAATGGGAGATGTGTTGTGGAATTGGAGCAGGCTTTGCTGCACCAACAGGAAAGAAACCACTTCCGCAAGCAGCACCGATTATTATGTGGCAGACAAGACCTCGGCTAGTGAATTATCTCTAACCCCAGGTGGTGGACGACCCTTCTGCTTTGGTGACTCGGATCCCACAACAGGGATAGAACTCTCTGATATTATTATTCCTACCGGACGTTGATGGAGCCTGCTGCATCATGTTCTATAGATATTGCCAGGAAGGAAAAATGATGTATCATTCCTCTCCGACTCTAATTTGGATATCTGCTATTCCTGTGTCAGGAAAATCAGCATCTACTTCACACTGCAACTAATTAATTTACATTTAGGTTGGCCTTAAGAAGGATCGGAAAGAAACCTGGAACAATCATGCAACAAGTAAGGCTTCTTGATGTGTACATTCCCAAAATAAAAGAGAGAAAAATTACTTATTTTCTGCATCCATATCTTACTTGCAATAAACCCTTTGTTCTAACTAACTAAAACTAGAAGTATTTGTGTCGAGAAAATGATCAAATAAAGGTGAAATCGATCAATCAAAAGTTATCTTGATTTTCACCTGATCGAGTATGATCTTGTTCATATATTATGCAAAACACCATTCTGACTTAATAACCCTGTTATTCCTTTGTATGAAGTAACCATAAGCACTCCAGGCTAACCTCAAGATAGCAGACAGCAGAGCTTAGTCCTTGAGCCGTTGCTTAGCCCATTGGAGCTCTATGGCCCAATCTCCTTCTGCTCTTTAAGGATCTTCTGCCAAACTTGCCTGGTAAACTCACAAGTGAAAACCAAAGTGGCTGTTACGTAGATAATATTTCAGCCCAAAATTTCAAAGTGGATTACATAGAGGAAGAAAGAAAAGCTAGAGGATTACCTTACTACACTTTCTAGTGATGGCTTAGGATCTGGAATGTTTACTACTAAATACTAATGGTGTGTTTTGTAGTACTTATAGCCAGCAACTACTTGTATATGTCTCTATCCTGATTGGATTTAGATGTAAATTATACTCTTTTAATTACATTCAAGAGTTGATTATCCTAACATTAAATTACATTTTCCTTTTGAAAGGAGTATCCTATAGTTATTTTTTTGTAATAATCTAGTTACATACACTCTATTGAGGATCTAAAAAATGTATAAATTGTGTATATTAGGAGAGAAAGAGGAAGGATGGAAAAATTACTTTCTTTTTCGTAATTTTTTTTGTTTGGTAAGAGAGAAATAGTAGAAGAAAAGAAAAATGAATAGATTTGTATTTTCCCCTTCTCTCTAAATCCATTTTCTTTTCAAAAGTAAAAAAAAAATTATTCAACTTAAATTCACAATTTTATTTATAATTTTATCTATAACCTCTTTCTTTTCCTCTATTTTTTATCATTCATATCAAGCACAAAAAAAAAATCAAATTACATATTTAATTCTTATACTCTATCTAAATGTTGGATTTAATCTTTTTATTATAATTTTTATAAATCAAGTCTTAATACTTTCAAAATTTGTTAAAATAATTATTATCAATTTTTAAAACCCCAAAATGACTTGTTAGCAGTGATCAACGGCACCATAACGTAGGTCAACACTATAGCAACATGGAAATTCCTACTATGACTTAGTCAATGTAATACCATTTTAATCAATGTCACATGATCTTGATTAAATGTCAAGTTAACAATTTTAACTTATAAAAAATTTTAAAGGTGTTAACCATTGAATTCACGTTAACAAATTTTAAAATTCTGTGATAGTAGAAAGATTAAATCAAATAATTTGATATAGTGCAAAGATTAAATGTAAATTTAATAAAAAAATAACTTTTCTTTTCATAATGTTAGTGGGAATCACGGTTCAACCCTGTTTAGTTCTTTTCTTTTCTGCTGTCTAAATCTGACATTGACAGTCAAAGCCATTTTTATGAGTTATCCACACGGTATAGAAATCCAACGTTTATTGTTTCTTTCTTCAACTAATTTTGTTTACCACCCATATTGGAGTACCATTGCTTCCTTCTACCTTGAGGCTTTGGCATCCACAAACAGATAGATTAGGCTTTGAAATCCAATTTTCTTGATAATTATGTTACTCCGTCTCCTCTTCTTGTGCCATCTCATAGTCCCCGGCTTCTCAGAGTTCCTAAGCTGTGCTTCATCCACAACCATGTCACTTGATATCCAGGACAATGAATCCAAGATGGGCAGACCGATTTTATCTCGGGTATCGATGTCCAATCCTGGCGACGTTGAATTTTTAAAAACTTCTGCTTGCATATTTAAGGTACCATCCAATAGCACATTCACCGTCTCCCCGGGTCCCAAACTTGTAAGACTTCATTTTTATCCAATCTCTTATCCAAGCTTAAACATTTCAAAAGCATTGTTTAATGTTAGTATCGGCAGCTACACTATTTTATCTATTTCCAAGTCTTCCTACTCTGAAGGAGCTTTTGACGTTGAGCATATCATCAAGGAATACTGTGTTCCTGTAGAAGGCCATGTTTTGAATATATTGTTCACCCCATCGTCAGATTATTCTGATGCCTATGGCTTCGTCAACATGATTGAGGTCGTTTCGGTGCCGCCGAATCTTTACTTAGGAGATTTGCTACTGCCACTCATTGGACATCCTAATCAATTTTACTCTATGAACGACACGGCTCTTGAGACTTTTTATCGGGTGAACGTGGGCGGTCCGTCCATCTCTGCTGACCATGATACTGGCAGTGGCATGTCTCGTGCTTGGTCTGGGGACCAAGGTCATCTGTTTCCTAACACAGATATTGTCCAATTCAAGATAGCAGAATTTAGCTTCGGTTCTGAGGTGCCAGCCCCAAAGGAAGTCTATTCCACAGCTAGAAAGACATTTATTCCTGATGATAACCTAACCTGGTCACTCCCTGTAGATTCTGGCTTCTGTTACCTCATTAGGCTTCATTTGTATATGACGTATAGCTCGAAGTTTATGGATGAGAATCAAATGGTTGTTCACATTTATAGTCCTGATCATGCAGAAATCAACTTAACTGAGGAGTTGGAAGTTCCCATCTATAGAGATTATCTAGTGAATTTCTCAAGAAAATACCACGAGATAATGTTTCTAAAAGTTTCCATAAAACAAAACAAAAGTGCAATTCATAGTGTGCCAATCTTGAATGGGCTAGAAATCTTCAAACTATCTGATGATAGCAACTCTCTTGCGGGACCTAATCCATTCAAAGCAAGAAACGTATCTGACACCTCATCTATTGGTATTCCAAAGTTCGTGAAGATTGTTGCGGATATATTAGCGGGGGTTGCTGCACTACCTTTTGTATGCTATGGTTGCCTCCTCCTTTTACGTTTCAAATCACGACAGTGCTCTTACTTAAAATGGAAAAGAAGAGTTGCATATTTACCATCGTCAAAGCACTGCCCGCACTTCTCTCTTGCTCAGATAAGGTTAGCGACCAACAACTTCTCGGATGCTTTATTACTTGGCTCAGGGGGGTTTGGAAAGGTGTACAGGGGCTGTATTATTGATGGCATAGGCGACACCATCGTTGCTATAAAGCGTGCAAATCCCAATTCACACCAAGGACTAAACGAGTTCCAAACTGAAATCACCACACTTTCTAAGCTGCGGCACTGCCACCTAGTATCCTTGATCGGCTGTTGCATGGAAGATGATGAAATGATTCTTGTATACAATTTTATGGCTGGAGGTACTCTACGCGACCACCTTTACAACACCAAGAAAACACCACTCCCATGGAAGCAGAGGCTAAAGATTTGTATTGGTGCAGCTCGGGGACTGCACTATCTTCACACAGGAGGAAAGCAGACTATCATTCACCGTGACGTGAAAACCACTAACATCCTTTTGGATGAAAATTGGCTGGCCAAGGTTTCAGATTTTGGGTTGTCAAAAATTGGACCAAATATGATTGAAGAATCTGAAACTCATGTCAGTACATTGGTCAAGGGCAGTTTTGGATATTTAGATCCAGAATATTATCGCCGTCAAAGATTGACTGAAAAATCTGATGTGTACTCATTTGGAGTGGTACTATTCGAGGTACTATTTGCTAGACCTGCTGTGTTACCACTGGTTGAAAGTGAAGAAGAGCATGACAAGGTAAATTTGGCTGAGTGGGCTATACATTGTCATCAAATGGGGACCTTGGATCAGAACATTGACCCTTCCCTACTAGGACAGATTAACCCTGAATGCTTTCAGACGTTCACAGCTATTGCAAGGAAGTGTCTGGCAGACAAGGGAAGTGACCGGCCAAGTATGGGAGAGGTATTGTGCAACTTGGAGCAGGCATGGCAACAGGAGCAGAAGTGCTCCTTGTTGGAAGCCAACTGCCTTCAAGGCAGGGCCAACGTGGGAATTGGTGGTAATATGCCTCCAACAATTGATGGTCAACGATGCTTACCAACTGGTAATTCTGATCCAACCCCAGGTGCTGAGTTTTCAGAGATCATTGTTCCAATTGGACGTTAAGAGGTTTGTATTCATGCTTTTGCTAATCCTAAAACCTGTTGTGCTGTTTCTGCAACTCTGAAAATTCATTTGTGAAACAAAATAAATTGGAAAACTGTAATTTTACCCATTTCTTCCTAATATACATAGATTTGTTCTGCAATATTTAAATTGAAGAGATTTCATGTGCTATTAAGACTCAAATTAGAGACTAAATGTAAATTGTAAAAGTCATATTTGCTCTAGTAAAGGTGTTTCCGAGAGTACATCTTTGAAGTAGTATTTGGCAATAGTGCTAGAATGATTTCATAGGGAAAACACTTGAAATTTCTTTTCCATGTAATTTGCAAATTTTAACCTTTCCTTTGGTTCACTTCTTTTTCCTTTCCTAAACAATCTAAACTCCTGAGACAATTAATTTTTAAAAGGATAGAGAAGATGCACGAAACCTTTTCTAAAAGAAACAAAGCATCTAGACCAATGTTTCATGCACCAATAGAATACTGGAGAATTGGGATTCATACATTATGTGGAATTATGGATGCCAGATAACTCCTGTAACAGGAAGAAATATGATGAAATAGTTGTTTCAATTCTCTTAGGCTTTGTTCAGCATATTACTTGGGTTGCAAATTTGGGTTTTAAAGTCTAACTACATATTATAATTTGAAAATGTAATCTACTCTTCATATTAGTTTGAATCGTGGTTTGAAAGTTTTATATATGTTTGTCATTGTTATTGTTATTGCAGTTTTCAACACTGTTTTGCAGCCTGGAATGTGCAGAGCTTGGTCCTTGAGCCTTTGCTTAGCCCATTGGAACTTAATGGCACAATCTCCTGCTGTTCTTTAAATACCACATAGACTTAGGATCTTCTGCCAAACTTGAACAGGCTGCTTCGTAAATAATATTTCAGCCCAAAATTTCAAAGTGGATTACACAGAGGAAAAAGGAAAAGCAAAAGGAGTACCTTACTACCTTTACTAGTGATGGCTTAGGATCTGGAATGTTTACTACTAAATACTTATGGTGTGTTTTATAGTACTAACAGCTAGCAACTAGTACTATATGTCTCCATCCTAATTGGATTTAGATGTAAATCATACTCTTTAATTACATTCAAGAGTTGATTATCGTTATCATTAGATTACATTAATTGTCGTTTGGTAGGAGAGAAAAAGGAAAGATGGAAAAATTACTTTTTTTCCATAATTTTTTTTTATTTGGAGACAAATAGTAGAAGAAAAGAAAAATGAATGAATTTGCACTTTTCCCTTCTTTCTAAATCTATTTTTTAAAAAAAGTAAAAGAAAATCATTTATTCAACATAAATTCACAATTTTATTTGCAATTTTATCTCTAACCTCTTTCTCTTTTTTTTTTTATTTTTCATCATTCAGACCGAACACAAAACAAAAATCAAATTATACATTTAGTTTTTATATTACTTTATAAAAATATTAGATTTAATTTTTTTGTTATAATTCGTATAAATCGAACCTTTATATTTATTATAACAACTATTATTAATTTTTAAAAATCTTAAAATGTCGCATCAACATTGATCAACTTTACTTAAGGTAAGTCAACATTATAAAAACATAAAAAACTCCCATATTGACTTAGTAAATGTAATATCATTTTAACCAGTGTCACATCATCGTGATTAAATGTCAAGCTAGCAATTTAAACAAGGTTAATCAGTGAATTGAAATTAACAACTTTTGAAGGTATATGATAGTAGAGAGATTAAATTAAATATTTTTAATGAAATGCAGATTTAATAAAAAAAATAACTTTTCTTTCTTTTTTGGCTCTTGCCTCACCTTTTCCCATTCTCTCCGATTTCTTTCCCTCGTACCAAACATAGTGTTTATATTCCTCCCTTTCAAAACAGTCGCCATCACAGCATTTGTATTAGTGGGAACCATGGGACTATAAGTCCAACCCTTTTTGTGTTTTTTCCTTTTTTGCTGCCTAACTTTGACATTGGCAGTAGACGCAGCTATCCACACGGTATAGACTTCCAACCCTTATTACAAGTTTCATTTAAGAAATAAATAAAATAAAAATAATTAGTATAATTTATTTTAAAACTAAAAGAATCAAACCTTTAATTCATTTAATAATATTTTTGTATATAGTAAGTTTAAAATAATAGTATGAGATTTTATTTATCTCTTTTCATATCAATAATTTTTTTTTTATAATTGGAAGAAAGAGATTCGAATCTTATTTTTAGATAGAGGAATCATGCACTATACATCAAAGTAATGTTCTTAAAATTGTTCTTAATTATTGTATTGTCAAGATAAGGTATTGCTAATGCTCAAAAACTGGTATATGTTAAACTTCCTTACTAAGTAATTGGTCTCATAGATTGAAGTATATGAGATACTTGAGGATAACATTTAGGTGCTTGTTAAAGAACAAGTTCACTGAACATGACCCGCTATAAGAACTCCATTTGGTATTTCACTCAAGTGTCTATGAAAAATGTTCTCATGTGATAGTCATGCAACTAGTCCTTAGACTTGAAACACCAAATCATCTTGTATGAGAAATGACATATTTTGATTTCACTTCTACGGGTTTGAAAGCAACTAAATGCTTAAACAGGGTGTTTTTGGATATACCATAAAGAATGCGAAGGTGAATGAGTGTCAAGAGAGGATTCATCACCCCAAGTAATATGAGAGGATGTATCTCACTTGTTCTCAATTTTTTATTAACTTGTATAGAGTTTTTTGTCAAAGCATAGTGAATTTAAGAAAAATTAGTTTCCTAAATTCATAAGGTTAGTCATGAATTATGAGAACTAATAAGGAATGTCATAAGTAGACACCGAGCCTTGCTTAATGACATATACAGGATATTTGATTAAAGGACCGTATTGCACTAAGAGGCTTATCACTAAAAGGCTTTGTCAAATTCTTTAATTGACTCTTTAACATTTGGGTGGTCATAATGTATTGTTGATGCCACTTATGATCTATAAATATAAATTAATAAGTAAATTGCTATTTGATTATGATTTATATTTATTGCTAACATATTAGAAGCCTAATGGGTCACACACATTAAGTGACATGATTGGTATTAAATAAAGATAATTAATTAAGTTAGTCTTATTTGAAAGAGAGTCAAATAAAGTGAAAAATTAATTAAGTTCACAGAGACTTAATTAAATTAAAATACAACTATTGTATTTAGGGTTACAAATTAGTTTGACTATATAAATATGTTATGTTAGCAAACTAAAAACTAGAAGCCTCCAACCACTTTTCAGTCGTTTCATAAGTTGAGAAAAGAAAAATAGTTTTCTTTGTCTGACAAAAAATAAGATTCGACAAGAATTTTGGTCCTTTTGTTTTAGAAACAAAAATTGTTAGCACAAGTAAAATCTTACTTTGGAGAAAGTCTTATTCAGTCACTATATAGATTACTATTAGAGGCCAAGCACTTGAGTGGCTAAAGATTTAACAAATTCTAAAAGTGAAGAAGCAAAAATTTTTGGATTTAATTAGCTCTTGATTACGATATCTAGAACAAGGTATGTAACTCTTAAACCTATAACTGTTTATAATTTATTTGAAAATTACATAAAAAACACAAATATTGATCTTGTAGGATTTGACTGTTTATCTAATTAAATACTATTTTTATTTTTTTACTGTATTATATTTGAATTTATTGATTGTTTTTCATATTTAAGCATGAGGTCGAATCCCAGCACAATCTTGCTCTCTCTCAAAATAATAAAAATCTATCCATAATCATATGAAAAATATGTACGTGAAAATTACAAACAATTTAAAGTCTTTCTCAAAAAATTTAATTCCACCTTATAGTAATCCAATAAAATATTTTCTCAATAAAATGAGAGAGAGAGAGAGATTTTATTCACCTTGCAAATATGAACTAGATTATAATTTTTATGTTTCAGCCTTAAGGGTTGATCTTGTAAGGTCTCAACCCCCACATAAAAAAGTTTGGATAAAATACTCTACCATTCTTAACTTTTAACTATAATTATATATGGATCCACTAGTTTGCAAAGTGGATACTTCACTCTAATCAATTAAATAAAGTTAACATTTAAACTGAAATGTCTAAAATATTTTTTAAACTTTTTATTTTAAACCTTAGCTTACTAGTTTATCAAGACAATTTGCTTTAAACCTTTTATCAAATTAGCAAAACATCATACAAGTGCATATGGTCAACAACTAATATAGTAGGGAATGAGTTATTGTCTCTATAGGAAATTGTAACTAAATTCTTGCTAATTATTAAAATTTGGCAATCTAATCTTATCTAAAGAAATCTAGTATGAAAATTAATTGAAAATGAAAATTAAAGTAGCAAGCATAAACTAGTAAACTAAGCTAAAAAAAAATTGCAAGTAAATTGAGTTGGATAACAATGGGGAAGCACCTAAGATTATGGTTTCAATTAATACTTCATTTGCACTTAAGATTGACTAATTACCTATTTTTATGGAAAACTAACATTAGCCTAGGATCCTTAAGCATGTATGATTCTCCGTCGAGATATCATACAGTGGTTTAAACCTATAAATTGATTGTATATGGTTAATAGGTGTATATCTACCCTATTAACAAATCGCCCAATTAATTCCTAATTGCAATGATCATATACTATCTAAACCATGATCTTTTTAGACTAACTCTGTTAAGTATTATCTAAAGTCCATACACATCCTATTGGTAATCAATCAATATAATGAGAAATAAGTGTGGATTTGAATAAACACTAAATATTTCACAAAACAAATAATAGTCAATCAAGTATCCAAACTATACATTAATATCTACCATAATCCTAGGAATGAAAGTTTAGTTTAACCTTTCAATAGCTCACAACAAAATTTGAGCAAAACTAAGCATTTATACAAAGAGATTTAGAGAGAGAAAACTAAACTAGTGCGTGAAAACTCAATTTGCTACAGCTTTGTCAAGCTTTTCTTCAAGATTTTTCCTCTTCTTTTCTCCTTGTGGAAAGCTCTTTTTGCCTTTGAAGTTGCTTCTTCAAAGCCTTGAAAAGGCCCTTTTTTCAACTTTAAAATGGCTTACTTTTACCACTCCATGTAGCCTTTTGATTTAAAAGATCAGAGGGTGAAAAAAATTATGTCAGTTGGGGTGTTAGCTCTATAGTTTTGGAAACACGACATTGCAGCGCTCAAGCTTCTACCTTGGGAGTTTGCTAGTTGATTGGGATAGTGTTGTAGCACTGGGAGCCTAGCGCAACAGCGCTATGCTGGTTGTTTCCATGCTTTGTTCTTTCAAGCTACCTAGTGTAAAACTACTACATTCAAGTTATTTCTAACTTGATTTTGACTATACTCATATTAGAACTGGATGAAGTGATAAACATAAAAGTTATAGCACTTCCTCTTAGCTTTCCAATGGTTTAAGAATCAAGTTGATTGGACTTCTGTACCTTGAGTTATGCCTGAAATACCATAACATATTCGGTGAAATCTATACCTAATCAACTTGTACAATTCCTTGCCACTTGATCCCTTCTTTTTTGAGGACCTTACTTAGCCATAATTAAAAATAAGCATTTTTACCATACAAAGAAGCTAAAATAACTTAAAGTAAACTTGCTCAATAATGAGTTAACTAATTAGAGAAAAATGAAGGAAACTACTCAAAATTTTGCCTAAACTCAAAGACTTAGTCATTTTATCACTCAAAATAGGACAAGATAATTCTATATAATAGAGTTATCATCAATCAACAATGTTCCCTACCTCGATCGACCACCCCCAAATTTCTCAAGGAGCACCAGATGTAGTTCTCCCTAGACCACCAAGATCGTTGCTCCTTTTGGAGCACGAAAACAATGCTCCCCAATAGAGCACCAAAATAGTGCTCCTAAAGAGCACTACCGTTTGGGAAGACCCATCTGTGCTCCCTAAGGAGCACGCAAATAATGCTCCCTAAGGAGCACCACGATGGGTGCTCTTCTAGGGATCTCGATTTGGCCGAATCTAACACTTTGCGATCAAATCCGACCATGGGTGGTCAACCATGAAAGAGGT